ACGTTACTCGCAGCTATGACCCTGCTAACTTTAGACTCTCATCTACCCACCGCCAAGCCTACTTCACAAACTCCTATTTTCCTCGAACAGTTTGGAACAATCTGCATAATGTAATCAAACATTGTACTAGTGTCTTGCAGTTCAAAAGCTCTCTTCAATCTCACTACCAGGCCAAACTAGATCTACTATATCGACCACCATAATTCTCGTATTTTATTTAGTTTATTATATTGTATTTTTCACTACTTTTTACATTGTAAGGGGGAAAATGTCAATTGGGGTTCAACCCTGTTTTCTCCTCCTGTCGCATTTTTGTTTATTTAGTCTCGTAATTCATTTGTTTATTTACTTATTTATTATTTTCCCAGTATGTTGTATTTTGTGACAAACCTCATTAAACTAAACTAAACTTAAACTAAACTATCCGATTCAGGTCGACAATACTCAATGTTGTTTATAGGGAAGTCCTGCCTACGCACCGAAAGCATGTTATCATATTATGTTATTTTTCAGGTTCCCGCTGGAATCAGTTGTCCTCCCAATGGATACAAGATTGTCTTCACAACTGCAGCAGGGCGACCTGGTCAAAGTGTTTTTGTCAGTGGTTTTCAAAATACATCGTATACGTTGACTAAACTGAAAAAGGGGACTGAATATTTCATCCGTGTTCAAGTTCACAATGAGAAAGGAAATGGTCCACTAAGTACTGTTGTAAAGGAACGTACCTTGGAAGACAGTGAGAACCGATTTTTCATCTCTCTATAAAAATTATTTAATAATCAAAATATTCTTCAACGCAGCATGTATTATTTTCAGAAAAGAATGCAACGCGTAAGACTGAAAATCTAAGCGATCAAAAAGAACGACCAAAATGTAAGTTGTTCAAGTAAATGATTTTTGTTATCATGATAAACCGAGAAGATCAAATATGACATATACGTTTTGATTTCACCTAATAAAAGGTGTCACAGGTGCGTCATCAGGAAGAACGCTAAGTTATATTCTCGGTGCGATAATCGCCGTACTGGTTGTGATCATCATCGCATTGATGTTTTACATTCGACAATTGAGAAATCTTGTGAACGGTAAGTTTTGTTTCTTTAATAAATCGTGGCCTGATATTGGACGGAGATCATTTTTTTAGCCATGAAAGTCATAAACATATGCACAAGCGTAAACACGAGGTCTTTGGAGACAAATACATTAATTAAATCTAATAGCAAGAAAACCGACCTACTTAATGCCTGTCTATATCTGTGCAGTCTACAAACACTAGGAACATATTGACTTACTAACGCAAATCTATATTTCCTTTATAGATTTTCAAGGCAAATCAAAGAGGTATTATATAAATACTACATAAGAAAGAAAAATACTTCTCATGTATGCCGTCAAAATAGTTTCATCTGGTGATTAAAACGAACTAATTTTACACTCTTGGCAGTGCGGAAAATACATCGTTCTCCCCTAAAGATGGAGCAAACAAAACGTCGATAAGAACTGCTATGCTGATCATTATAGTTTTATAATTCACAGGAATCCCGATAGTAATTTACCAGGCCAAATTGTTTACGAGGTAAATATATTTTCATAGAAAACTGAAAAATTTTAATATATAGAGGATATTACACGGTGGCGCGAAAATATGGATTTTATTGTCGAGTGGTGGAAACAATTTTTTACGAGTGAGCGCATTTTTATTATATGGACAAACTGAAGCAAACAAAATTAAGAATAAATGTTGAATTTTAATGCAAAGAAAACTGAGAAATATTCATTAAAAGTTTACGTGCTGAAAATCGCACAACTGAATAAAGTTCACCAAATATTGATATAAAAATATAGAAAAAATGTTTCTTTTATATTTAAGCTTACTGACTTTGGCTGCTCTCCTCGCTAGAAGATTCGACGATAAAGATGAACTTCATAAGAATATTTTGAAGCTCAGAAAACATTTAACACTTATTTACTGGAACCGAGGGAAACATACTGTTCAAGCTTGCGTGAAGTCAGCCTACTCAGTTCCAATCTTTCACGGACAAAGATTACGTGACAAATTATCATGCAAATAGTCACGGAAATAGATTTAATCGAAATTTTTTTTAAAAATTGAAAAATTGACTTCTACATTCGGGATCGGGTAATCTTCGAATTACGCGCTTCCAGTCAGTGTCCAGGAGGAATTCAAATGAGTGACATACCCACCAGTACTTCAACAGAATATGAAACAGTTGACCAACCTCAGCGACAAGAATCGAACCGTAATGACGATGGAATTTTCGAAAAAACAAGAACCACTTACCAACAACTTCATTTTGACAATAAACAAAAAGGAGGCATTTATGAAGTAATGGACCAAAATACGAAAAGTGAGAAATTGTTGGCTAACGATGCGCAGGCAGGACATTCCGTTTACCAGTCGCTTTGCAAGGATGCATATCGATCAAATATATCAAGGACTGCACATCTATGAAAATAAGAATGCACAATCCAAGATATAATCATTATAAAACGTGGGTTTAATGATGTAGATGTCTGTTTTAATAAATTAATAGCTTAAAGTGCTACTTGCATGAAAATGGCCTTATTTCAAAACTTCAAGCAATACAAATATATGACTCACATATATCTATTAAAAACAATTGCGGGAAAATATTTGTTTTGGAATTGTCCCCAACCAGAGAAATTTAGATTCAAAAGATGGAAGAACAAAAGGATTGAGTAAATGACGTCATCTACTCCAACATTTTTTTGCCCAAATTATTAAGGATTTGTATCAATATCTTCTTAAAATCTGTTGCTTCATGGTTATTAGACCCATATGGATAGTTCTATTTGATTTCCAAGTCGTTTCTAATGTTTCGCAATTTTCGTCCAAGTAGCCCTTTAAAATAAGTAAACACACTGTTGCGGTCTCACTGCCCGCAATATCTTGATTTGTTGTATAAATAAACATTTTCTTTATTGTGTAATTTTGGGTAAAGCTAATGATAATACCACAGAAACAAAATACAGAAATATTAGTGTGCATCTCTTCATGAAATGCAACGTTCCCTCTTTTCCACTCAATTTCCCTTTCTTCTTTTTAATATTATTTTCTATTCAAGTCGAACTGTTAACACTATTTTTCTGTTTTTTTTTTGTTTCCTGATTGACAGTCTGAGATGTCCTTCAAGCCACAGCTAACCCAGGCTCAATAACTTAGTATGATTTATGTCGTTAGCACAATTTTTTATTGGCTAAATAATATTATTCTAACATAAATAAAACGTCCCTCACCTTCCTGGTAAAAAAATCTTTCGTTTTTAAGAGGTTTTACGCCATTTTTGATATGCCATTGTTTAACCTACTTATATTAATACAAGGTTGGAGACTGGACGCAAAGATTTCCAACAGTAACTCTACTTGTACTCGATTTTTTTGTCAAAATCCATTCTTTTAATTGTCCACATTTAACTGCTTCACAAAACATGAATGTCCAAGGATTCTTTTGAAGCTCTTCGTCAATGAATTGCTTTTCGGGAAGTTATTTTTATCGGCCGTTGAATTCTAATATTCGGACTAAAGTAATGCTGACTATACTAGTAATTTGGTCCGGAGGCACAGGGGTCCCAAAAGAAGAGAGTATTCTCAAATTGGATTGGTTGATTTCTAACAAAAGGCAATAAACATTTTGAATCTACGGGGGACATTGCTCAATAATTGCGAGACGAGGCGGGGGAGGGTACAATCGAAAGCTACCAATAGGGCATCAGCCCTAAAAAAAAAAAAATTGTGCTAACAACATAATTTATACTAAGTTATTGAGCCTGGGTTACCTGTGTTCAAGCTTGCGTGAAGTCAGCCTACTCAGTTCCAATCTTTCAAGGACAAAGATTACGTGACAAATTATCATGCAAATAGTCACGTAAATAGTGTTTATCGAAATTAAAAAAAAAAAATTGACTTCTACATTCGGGATCGGGTAATCTTCGAGCTACGCGCTTCGAGTTACGCGCTCGACCACGCGCAAATTTGCCTCGGTCACGCCCAGTGCATAACTCGATGCAACTAACATACATTAGTGTCTTCGAGTTACKCGCCTAGCGCGTAACTCGATGCAACCAAAATAACTTACTGTCTCCGAGTTACGCGCTTTTAAATCAAAATCAATATAAAAAAGAGATCGTTGCAAATGCAATCTATGTACATGCATTCTTTAATTTATACATAAATAGTCAGGCCATTTCTTCACAAAGTCAATATTTTTCTAAAATTCGAGGTGACCGAAGAAGGTACCACTTTCTAATTTGAATCGGTATTGAAACAAATTGTAATGATATTTTAAATTTAAATGGATTTGATAAGACTCACTCAATCGTGAGCTGTTATGTCAGCCGATAGCACAACATTCGTTCCAGCCCCGCTTTATTTATTCGACAAATAAATGAAGAAACTAATCAGTTGGAAACTAACAAAATAAAAACGGCATGTACGGAAGGACTTGCCGACATTAAGGTACTGTATCATAAAAAGGAAAATATAGTATTTGTGGTTTTTGTTTGTTTTTGCTGTAAGGCATTAGACCTTTTTGGTCTTGCACTATTTGTTTGATTCGTGCACTAAATGAAATAGACGAATGCATGTGAGATGGGACTTTCTTTGTTTGCACATAACATTAATTACCTCAACTCTTTCAATTAGATAGAAAATTAGGTGCTTCATTAATGTTGTCGATGCGATCTTGATCTTGCTATGTGATGGAGAGTGTCGTAATTAATAGAAGTTGATTATGGATGATTATAGYTGCTTATTATCGATCGTTTCTTGGGCATGAAGTTGTACATATTAGCATAATAGCTATTTTCAATTGCCGGCTTTTGCACTAATTTTTGTAATTTGTAGCCTAAGGGCTGCCATTTATAATTTTAAAACTTGTCCTTGACATATTTCAATGTGTAATAAAATTTTCCTTCGTTTCCTTGAAAAATAAAAGCCGTAAAAACAATGAGCTTTTTTTATATTGATTTTGATTTAAAACCGCGTAACTCGAAGACAGTAAGTTATTTTAGTTGCATCGAGTTACGCTCTAGGCGCGTAACACAAAGACACTAATGTATGTTAGTTGCCTCGAGTTATGCGCTGGGCGTGACCGAAACAAATTTGGGCGTGGTCGAGCGCGTAATTTGCGCTACCAATGTGACCAAATTGTGCAAAAGTCTATAGGGCAGCATGGCACAATAACGCAAAATAACGGTCAATCATAGTAAGTCACACAACATAAAAAGGGAGAAGTATCAGATCGCGCTGTTCCGCAATTTCGTTAATTGTGATCTTCCTGTCGTTACATAAGAGAGCCATCTGCCATTTTGCATTGCTAGTCGATGGTCCTCGACTCACAAAGATCCGGACATTAATCAGTTCATTCTACTACAAAGTAGCGTATGGAATGCACGTTTCTTGACGAGACATCAACAAAGCTTCCTGAAGTTAACTCGAAGCGTTATTCCTTTTGGTTCAGTTCTTGACACTCCACTATGTATTTCCGTGCACTGATTGCCTTCTCAATGCTACACGCGGTATTTGGTAAGTAGTAGCGTGGTCTTTGTTTGTTACTGAACTAGTAACATACCACAACACATTCAACAAGGGAACTGTCAGCTCGCACACCTCAAATTATAATTGGTCGAATCGATAAGGAGATGGAATAAGTTATTCAAGCGCTCTGGTGCTATTCTGTTATATTTTTTGTGCATCAACAGCGCTTTACGTTTAATTCTTGTTTCCTCGAGGTTGTCCCAATTAAGTAGCACTAGGACAAGACGTGAACTTGTTCGGTTGTCAGTGCCCAGAAGAGTCTAGCTGCACGATTTTGGAATATTTGAAGCCTGTCTCCTGCCTCTATTGGATAACGCTATAAAAGCGACATAAGTGGTTAGCTGGAAGAAATCTATAACAGCAATCCCAAGATTACAGCCAATTTTGATACCTAAACCAATTCTAAAGGAAAATGTGCCATGCAATTATTTTTTCTGAAAATCGAAATTGCCTTACGTGTCACCTGCGATTGGAGTGAGGCCGGATAAAAAAATGTAAAAGAGAAAAACAATCAAAATTTGATGAACGGAAATAAGGTGTGGAATCAAGATCCGAGCCCCTCAAATGGTACTGATCTTTTCCTATAGCTTTGATTTTCAACTCTAATCTGGCCTTAGCTATTTGGAGATTTGATCACACGTCAATAAAAAGTTAACAGAGAATCAAACGTTAAAATAGTGAAATCATGAGACATCAGGGTACTTTCAATGATCTCAAGTGTAACCTTC